ATTTGAAGTCCCTTGGATCCAACACTTTTGGTCTCATGAAGCAGAATAGAAAGGGAAATTTTATGATTGAAGGAAATTTTCCATTGGTGAAGTTTGGTCAGTTCGTAGAAGTTAGCGATGCAACTGAGTCTGAAGAATCCTCAGATGATGAAGAAACTAAAGACAAGGTTATTACTGCTTGAGAACATAAGGAAGAGCCTGTTCCTCCGGTTGCTATCGTTGCCGAGGAGCATACGCCTGTTACAAATGAAGAGGCTAATGAAGATGAAGATGCAGAAGATGTTGATGAAAGTTATTTTGAGAGAGGTTTGATGGACAATGTGGTAGATGAAGATCATGATGAAGAGTTTATGGATCTTGGTGGAGATCTTTTTGGTTATGATAACGATGACTTATTCTCCGGTATTGAGCAATATCATGATGTTCGACTAAGCAATAAAGACTTTGATGCTTTCTTTGACAGTTTCAATGATGTTGCACAAACTGCAATGAAGACAGAGGGAGATGATGATGTTCTCAAGACAAGGCCTCCAACTTCTACTCAGATGGCTGACCCTTCAATTAATATGGATACAAATTCAAGGATTCCTCCCCTTCCTGTTGATATTCCAACATCCTTGCCATCTGAAGGTGATCTAATACTGACACAAGCCTCCCGACCTCTAATCAAGAGAAGAAAAGTTGATCCTAGGTCGGGAGTGCTTCTAAGGGAACAAGTGTCGCATGTACAACAATCCACTGCTGCTGCAACACTAACCCAACCAACCCCTGAAGAAGGTCCAAGTGTTATTCGATCTTCTCATGAAGTCGGGAGCTCTTCAGCTCCTGGGGGTTCTTCCCCACCAATACCTGCGCATGATGTTGCCTCTGAAAGGATTTCTAGGTTATTAGCACAACAAGATTCTGATCCTTCCACTCGAGCCAAAGGCATATCTATTAGGGAAGGAAGTGTAGGGGGAGTGGATCCATCAATTTCGGATATGAGAGCAGAGATTGGAGTATTGAACCAAAATATTATTGAAAAAGATGTTTTGATTGGAAACCTCAACGTTCAAGTTTCTGAACTTGAAGAAGAAAGTACATTAAAGTCAAAACAAATCTCCACTCTGCAACTAAACCTTGGAGCCCTGACAGTTGAATACTTTGACTTAAAAATAAGCTTATTGCATAATTTAGTGACAAGTTCAAGACCACAGTCGAAGATCCACAGGCAGCCAAGACTTCCCAATTTGCCCCAGCCAATACATCATAATCTGATCAGCTTAATGACAATCCTCCAATCAGAACCACAAGAGTCGTTGATCAATTTGAAACTGAACCAGCTCAAGCGCCTCAAAGAGTTACTTTTAAGAGATCCCGACAATCGGTATCTTCTCAGAAGAAGGGGAAATGGCTCTTCATGAAAAATTATGATCAGAATGTTTGTAAAGACCAGCCCCAAATCACTGTGACGGATCTCGGAAAAAGGCGGTTCAGAGATAGATACGCTGACAGGTCAAGGATTCGTATGTAGAGTTTTCACGATAAACTAAATTGTTGGCGGATCAAGCACAAGGGCGGTTGATGGGGTGTCAAACCCACCAAGCAAATCACACCCTTTGATTGCTAAATAAACGTAATATAATGGTAAAAAGGGGTATCGATCCTCGGGGAAATGGTTGTATTCAATCACCAATGCAATTCAATAGAACTAGTGAAATTAAACTAACTAACTACAATTAAAATAAAAGGGGGGTGTTTGATTACTTGAAAACTAAAATACTTGAATAATTTAAAACCTTGCAATTAAGCAAGTTGATGAGATGCTCAAAGATTGGGAATAATTGGTTAACTAAGGCAATTCAACACAATGAACATTTGTGTTTTTATCATTAAGATCTAATACAAAGCTTATCCTTCATCCCAAATTGGTTATAGCAATCATGAAGCATGATATGCCAAGATTCCTCATAGGTAGTATGGAGGTTGGGGAAGCCCACAACACACCTTCTTAATTAAGATCAAGGGTCAATTGAAGCAATTAATCCCAAGAAATCAATTAGCCTTAAGAATGAAGGAATCCCCAATTCCTAGAGGATGTCAAATGCTTACACATCCATAAAGGAGATATGATTCATAAGCTAGAGATGATTTCTACCATCATAAAGCCTTTGTTCTAGATGAATTCAATGATCCAATGCAAAATCAATGAAATAAATCAACTATTGCTCAATCAAACACTAAGCTCATGATCAAAGTATCAAATAAGCATAAGAATTGCAAACTAGAATCATAAACATGGAATAAATTGATAATCAACATACATCCTTCAAAACCCACAAACATTCATTGGTTTTCAGCCAAAGTCAACCAAATAAGAGTATTAGCCACTCATGGCAACAAAGTAACAAGAACAATAATCTAATTGCATAAAGAAACTACCTAAGATTTGGAAAGATGAAAGTAAATGGTTTCTAGCTCCCAAAATCGCCTCTTGCAGGTCTCCAATGGTGGAAAATCGTGAATGAGCTTCTAGATCTGATCCCCAAGGGTTATGGCAAGCCAAATGACCAAAATGCCCAAACTGAGCAGTTGCGCGGGTACCCGCGCGACGGAAATTCCACCCGCGCAAATGTTGCTGTAATGCTATTGGTCCACCAAGCCACTCCACTCTTCCACTACCAAAGATTCCTTTGGTCCCCCCCTCCTTGTCCATGTAATTTGAAATGCACCAATCATCATTTAGCCACCAAATGGATGCTCCAAGCCCAAAATTTGAATTTTATGATCCATCTTCACAAGCCCAAATACTCTAAACCAATAACTTTCAAAGCCTAATTCCTCCTCTTTGATTCCGCCAAGCCCAATAATGCCTCGGGAGCCCACTAAGCCCGTCTCCAATCAACCCACAACCGCAACAAGCACCGAAAAACCTACAAAATATCTTATGCAACATAACAAGCACCCGGTACGATCCATACTAAAGAAAAGTAAATAAAATACAATGCATTAATGATAAAAAGATCTAAAAAATCTAAAATAAACTAATAAAAATAAGGAAATAAAACAAGCTATCAGCGGTAATGTGGAATATTATAAAAACAAGAATGATTTCTCTTCTCTGACCAATGTGGATCTTACTAAGCTTTCAGAAGCCCCATTCTCCAATCCGGCTAATGATCTGCGTGGAACAGACTTCAAATTCTTCTTGAAAAACCAATTTAAGAGAAAATTTGATGGGATGAAGACCACTGAATCTTTTCTGAAGAGAGCCAAAGATGTGTTTTACCCATAGACCAATAAGAGCTTCACAAATGTTATGTGGCCTCCAACAAATAAGATGAAACAGATCCTGATTGTGAAGAACTTTTGTGATGGATCTCTACGCAAGATGGAATATTGGGTCTATGATGAAGCTACAGCCTCTACTGTCATCAAATTCCCAGATGGGGTTTTCCGCATTGTTGACAAGAAGGATCTGCTTCAGTTTGGTGAAAGAGACATCCACACTTTCGCTGATCATCAAATTTTATGTCAGGAAGAGATTTTTTAGGCTGCTGCCAAGGAGTTCATAAGCATGATTGCAGAGATTATCGAAAAAAATATGTGGTTGGGTGCAATGGGAAGATCGGACGTGTTGGTCGTCGAAAAGACTAAATCTATGATAGCCTCAAACCAAGGGGGACTGTTAGGTCATATTTTGTTGGTTTGAGCTAGGCATCAATCTGTATAGGTCTTGATAGGGTTTTGGTCATGTAATGTATGGGTGTTGTGTGTTTGTGGTTGTGAGGGTGTTCACGGCCGTGAACGTGTGTGTGGTCGTTAACGTGTTTGCGATTGGTTGCTCCCTTTAAATAGTTGTCAGATGTGTCAGATGAACAGCAGTCACGTGTGTGTGTGTGTATCCAAGTGTACCTGACGTTTGTGGCATAATAGACGTGTGCATTGTTGGATCATTCTTTGCTTCTACTCCTTCTTATTCTTATTGATTACTGCTTGTTTGTGTGTTTGATCACTAGTTGGATCCTGTTTTTGGGACTAACACTAATTCAGTGTTATTGGTATAATGCAAATCATGTTACTTATTAATTTAACAATATGAGAAACGATATAATTTCTATAAAAAGAACATGCTTCCTATTTTGGAGTTGTTCTTCGTATTCCAGATGTACCGGAGTAGTTCTTCGTATTCCACACTCGTAAAGCACATTCAAATTTAGACTAAATACGTAACTACATTTCTTTACTCTCTATGAATTATTACTACACGATTTTATGCTACTTGTGTGGTAACAATGGTTAGAAGTAACAATAACACTACATTTAATATGGTATTCTAAAGATGTTCCTCTAATTCCAAACTAGTTCTATGCATTCTGGACTACATTAAATCGTTTATTTACTAAAATGTAAGTACATTGATCAATAAAACTTACATGGTTTTTTGAAACTATGCTAGAAAACACCCAAAATCTTCGATGTTTAGGTTCTAAGAATTTTGAAATCATCTCTACCCGAAATGTTTTGTCTGGTATGTCCGTGTATAGACCCTATTTACACATTCACACTATAGCTTTGGGTATGACCCATTTTTCTTACTCCGAAATAGTGTTATGAAATGAGTGGTTATTATCCACAAAAAAAAAAAAATGGTTGTTTTTTAGAAAATATCTTCTAAGAATTGGTTAGATTACATATTTTTTTCATGGTTTTTAGTTTGCACTATTATATTTGTGTTTTAAAATCGAAATCAATTTGGCTTCACTTAATTTAACCGAATCAAACCGATACATTCAAACGAACACTCTTAAACTTCAACAACTTCAACGACCGTTAAGTAATTATTCTCAATTTAGGTTTCATTTTTATTACCAATGAGCTCCTTTATTTGTACGGATATTGTTTGTCTAAACCAACAAATATGTTTTTATAAGTTGTAAACCTATCAAATTATCAAATTAACCAGATATGTAGGTGAAAGGTGACACCAATGATCAATGTGTTAATAAAGTCTTGAGAATTTTCCCTTTTTAACTCTTATAATCTTATCGAGATTGAGGACAAGTACAATTAAGTGTACAACGTGTTTGAATAAAATATTAATGAAAAGTCAAATTCGTATCATTGTTCTCTAAAGAGTTGACGACCGATAAGCATTCTTCTAATCTCACTTGTTCCGGCACCGATCTCATATAATTTGGCATCACGAAGAAATCGACCAGTCGGATACTCATTCACATACCCATTTCCACCCAGACATTGAATCGCCTGAACAAATTAAAAAGATCAGAAATTAATCTATAACCAAAATATTCAGTCATTCAGATCGATAGTTACAAGTAAGAATTAATTAATCGTCGAACCTGAAGAGCAACTTGTGTAGCACTCTCAGCAGCAACAAGTATCGCTCCAGCACAATCCTATAATTAAAGAAACAACGATCAAAGACCATACTTCTTAAATCTCTGCACCTAGTTGATTGCTGGAAATTTAATTACCTTTGTGACGATGTTTCCATTGTCACAATCCCTTGCAACTGAATATACATATGATCTGTAACAAGATAAACCATGATCAGTTATAAATATAGCGGAGAGGATAACACTTGAGAGTTATGGAGTAATGGAGTCGAGAAACTGTTTGTTTTTGTTTTTACCTTGAAGACTGCAAAGCAACATACATGTCTGCAAGCTTTCCCTATTTTTCGACATGATAAATAAATAATTTATAAAAAAACGAAGGATTCGGTGTTGATTTTAACAGAAAGTTTAGCGCAAATAAAATGACGAACCTCCATTAATTGAAACTCTCCAATGGGGCGTCCGAATTGTTCTCTTTGTCTGACATATGGAAGAACAACATCTAGACATGCCTGCATGATCCCGATAGGTGCAGCTGCAAATACGATTCTTTCTAGATCTAATCCGGACATCATGATATAAACTCCTGGAAATGCATGATCAGAATTAACCAGTTGCTAGTTTTTGCTTCATATATAAGAAGAAAAATACTAGGATCATGTATATTTTGTTATTAATGAATGTTACCTTTTCCTACTTCACCAAGTATATTCTCTGTAGGAACGAAACAATTCTCAAAAACAAGCTCATACGTACCACTTCCACGCATTCCAAGTTTATCTAGTTTCTGGGCAGCGATGAATCTGTATCCAATATTATACAACAGCAAGAAAATTAATAAACAATCAAGAAAATATAATATAAAATATAAAACAAAAAGACAAGTTTACTTAGTTATATTTCTACCATTAAAGTATGAGAAGATGACATACCCAGGTGATCCTTTTTCAACGATAAACGCCGTTATCCCTTTTGACCCAGCTGAAACATCTGTTTTAGCGTAAACTACCTGATCAAGTGGAAATTTCAGCTTTGGACTTTGACCAATTAAGTAGGAATTGGATTGTTGGAACTTGGAAGAAACTATATAAGAGTGTTAATAATTAAGATATATATATATATATATATATATATATATATATATATATATATATATATATATATATATATATATATATATATATATATATATATATATATATATATATATATATATTACCAGGGTGTCGGCAATTCCGCCATTGGTGCACCACATCTTGTTGCCATTAATAACATATCCACCATCAACACGATCGGCTTTACATTTGATGCCAACAGCATCTGACCCAGCTGATCATAACATGAAAAAGAAGATGAAACTCATAGCTGTAGTAGCATTTAATCTAAGATATATATTAAGATTTAAGAGAGGAACAAAATTAATTCGTACCATTTGGCTCACTGATTGAAAGAGCTCCTACATGATCCCCGCTGATTAGCTTTACAACAAATTAAATACGACAGAGATTAGAACTCAATTCCTAATAAGCTATATATGGTTGAAATAAAAATATAAAAACAAGTATTTATGCAAGCAAAATTACCTTTGGCAAATATTTTTCTTTCTGGGCAGCATTTCCATGTCTCACCTTCAAGAAGAAGAGCATATGCAACAAGGAAAGAGTTAATTGCTTTAACTTTAAGTTTTAAGACATATAATTAATCAGAATCCATAACAATATATATAAAATCTTATGTTTTACCAATTGATTAAGGCAGACGTTAGAATGGACGCCATAAGATAACCCAACTGACGCTGATGCACGGCTAATCTCCTCCATGGCCATGCAATGATATAGATAACCAACATCGAGTCCTCCATATTCCGCTGTGTTTCAAATAATATGATTTCACGATTTGACCAAATCAACGATAAGAATAGTGAAGATTGAAGATGCACACCTGGAGCTGTAAGTCCATGAAGATCAAAGTCCCCCATTGCTTTCCATAAGTTCACATCCTGCAACGTGAGTTCTTAGTTACTCTAAACGTATTAAAATTATTAATGAAACATAGAGAGTTAATTAATGAAAGAATTTGTCTAAGAACCTCTGGGAATGAATCCATTTTGTCGATTTTGTCTGCATGAGGAGCAATCTTCTCTTGGACGAATTGCTGAAGACCTTCTTTGAACTGCAGTCATGATCATTGGAACAGATTTAGAAATCACTGATTCTATCATCATAGACGTTAATTAATTATGAAATCAGAATTAATTAATTAATACCCTTATTTGAGTTTCATCGAATAGCAAAGAGGTTGAGAAGGAAGCGGCAGCTGTTGTTCGTTGTGATGCAACCGCAATTGGTCTCAGGACTCTCACCAATCTCTGCATCGTCGCCGGCCGGCTGCTTGATCGAGGTCAATGAAATTTGAGAAATGAGCGGGAGGTAGATAGCATTCATTAAATAGAATTCGTTGAAAGAATTTTCAAATTTAATAATATGCTATTATAGTGACCCAGGCATCTTGCATCAGTTTTATATATAGTTAATAATATTTAAATTAGCCTTTAATGAACCCTAATGATTTATGTTCATTGACTTTATTCAATACTCTATAAGAATCAGTTGAGATTTTGACTATTGGAAAAAATCTTTACCATTGTGTTCTTTCAAAACTATTTATCATTTTAGTGTTTTTCTTCTTTTTCTTTTATTTTTTAGTTTCCTTTTCATTTTTTTTTTATTTAAATATCTTATTTTTCTTTTTTCCTTTTTTATTCCATCTTTTTATTGTTTTTCTCATTTTCTTTACTTTTTAGTTTCTTTTCAGTTTTTTTTTTTTAATTTAAATATCTTTTTTTTTCTTTTTTATTCCACCTTTTTATTATTATTATTATTATTATTATTATTATATATATATGACAACTTTCATTTTAGTTTTTTTTATCCTTTTTTTATTGTTTTTTTAAATATATGTTTTTTTATTTGTTTTTTTTTTTATTTAAATATCTGATTTTCTTATACAACCTTTTTACCATCAAATTTTAGCCTCAACATTAAAAAATCATAAAAAACCACCACTATAATCAAATTTTAAGATGCAAAAATTTCAACATTCACATACAATGTTTTTAAAGTGAAAAAAATCTCAACATTGTTTCTTACAAAAAAAAACATCACAAAAAAAAAAAACTCAACATTGTTTATTACAAAAAGAAAAACATCACAATTAGCTTCATCTTGAACCGGTAAAAAATTATTACTTGTAAAAAAAATAATAATAACAACAAAATAACTATAACAAATACCATAAAAATATTATTTTTTTAAATTACCTTGGCATAGACAGACATCATTTTCGATTATGTCCCGTTAAATCCACGTGCTCGAGAATGGTTGGAGAGTCATCCACTTAATAGATATCCGTCTATGCCAAGGTAATTTAAAAAATAATATATATTTTTTTACAGGTAATGATTTTTTACCGGTTGAAGATGAAGCTAATTGTGATGTTTTTCTTTTTGTAATAAACAATGTTGAATTTTTAAAAAACAGTAAAAAATGATTAAAAAAAAACTAAAATAAAAGTTATCATATATATATATATATATATATATATATATATATATATATATATATATATATATATAACAATAAAAGGGTGGAATAAAAAAAAGAAATAAGATATTTAAATTTAAAAAAAAAAAACTGAAAAGAAACTAAAAAGTAAAGAAAAATGAGAAAAACAATAAAAAGTGGAATAAAAAAGAAAAAAAGAAAAATAAGATATTTAAATTAAAAAAAATAAACTGAAAAGGAAACTAAAAAATAAAGAAAAAGAAGAAAAACACTATAATGGTAAATAGTTTTGAAAGAACACTAAAATGGTAAATATTTTTTCCATCCACCCTATTATGGTCAAAAACTCGGAATCAGTAATGGTATAGTTATGTTTCGTATAAACTATAAGGTCTTCTGGTATGCTCATCACGAGCCATCTCATGGTATACGTAGACCACAACCACAACCGTGCACACCATCCTGGCCGGTTGTGGTCGATCGTGGTTGTGGTTGGACGTTGTGTGTTCCACGAAATCAAACGGAAAAATCTATTGGTTGATGTTTGCAACGGCTAGTTTCTTTTGCAACGGAATTTTTTGTTTTTTTTTTCTTTTTTACCTTTCAAACATATTAAATTTCTTCTATAAATATCACACTTATGTTAAACATACTCACACAATTTCTTCTTTCTTTTCTCACAAAATCACACACTTGTTTTGCATTCTTCGAAAACCAATGGCTTCTAAAATGATGAATTGGTTAGAAAATGAAGAAGAGAACTTAAACGAGCATGGATAGCGGCTTTAGAAGACCTAGTAACGCCTGCTAATTTTTGGATAAAGGTTTGAAACGTGTTCCATGATTTAATGGGTTGCCAAAATCGTAGTGTTGATAAAATATGTTCGAAGTATCGCGATATGAGAGAAATGCATTGAATTCAATGGTATTTATAACCTTGTTATAAACAACGTACACGAAGACGACCCGTTTACTGTAGCCATGAACCAATATGAAAATACGAAACACACACCGTTTAAACACGTCAAAGCTTTGCGAAAATTAAAAGAGTATCCAAAATTTAGTGAGTAAAAGTAATGTTTAAAAAGTAGTTTGTGGTTGTATTTTTAAGGTTTTTTATGTTTTTTTTAATGTTATTTGTTTTAAATTAATATAATCTTGTTTCATTGAATAAAAAACTAGTTTAATAAAAAATATGTTTTATTGTGTTTTTAAATTAAATTTAATTTTAAAAAAAATGTGTTATTGTGTTTTAATGTATTTTTGAATTAAATTTAAATAAAAAAATGAGATGGAGTGGTAAGTTAGTGGTAGGTATCACATGTTAATGATAGGAGAATGTGGTGTTGATGTACCATCCACCACATATTCAGTATGTGGTTGGTATAACGGATGATCTAAAATGATTATATAGGTTATGCAATTACATATTTGTATAAGTTTGTCAATTAATTGTTTTTTTAATAATATGATCGCTTACTCGATTTAAATAGTTTAACTAATTAAACATATATATTTGAATAGTCAAATTCATATTCTCGATATTCCAATTTGGTGTGCTACCAATGGTTTAAGAAATATAAAAACGTTCCTATTTTTTTTTATGTAAGTCGAGCAACTACGTACTCATCCAATCTTTTAATTCAGATGATTAGCTGAATGAACTTTTCCATACCAAACCTCATTAAAAACTCAATAATAAATAATAATATATAAGGGTACGTACTGATATTGCCACCGCAATTTTTTATACGAAAAAAATATATATCGACAATTTTGCCATTGTTTACTTAATTAAGAGAGATAAATACAAATCTTTATCCAATAAAACGCACGATTACACCCGGAACTCCAAACGACGCCTTCTTCCTCGGTTCCTCCTTCGGCGCTGCTATTACGTCGGCACTTCTCGTCAGTCGATTCTTCTTCAGCCCACGCCATCGTTACAAACAGTAGCCATATATAAGTTGACGGTGCCCATTGCTTGCAGCAGATTCTTTCAACGAGTTTGATACCTTCATTGGAATCTTTAATTAACAGAGTCGTGGTGCATGGGTGGTGGTGGTGGATCTTTAATTGTTTTTCAACTGTGAAGACACCTGCATCAGAAGAAGGAATGGGTTTGTGTTTGGAGGTGTTTACGTTTGCATGCATGCAAACGGGAGAGAGAGTATCAAATAATATTGTATGTTTCTATCACTTTCTCTCAACTTGAAATTACATACAAGACAAAATATATAAAGCAACCTAGACAAAGACTATACAAGGAAACTAGCTTTTCCTATTATAAACTACTTGGGTTGCCAATGAAGCCACTTTTAGTGGGGTGCCTTGCCCCCCACCCCCACTTAAAAGGGTAAAAAATATAATAATGGTCCCACTTAAACATTTTTGGCACCCAATTTGCCCTAAAATCTGAAAGAAAAACCTTGAAAGTTAATATATAATTGCTTTTATTTTTGTATTAATTAATTTTTATATAAAATGGTGGTCCCCACTACACCATAGTTCTGGATCCGCCATTGATTGCCATCAGCTAGCGGTAGATTTGGATCATTATCGCTCGGTAAAACCAAGACATCCTTGAGAAATTTGAAGAAATAATTTACTTCAGTAAAATATTATCTTCTTAATGTAAGATCAAACAATAGAATTATTATATTCATAAGGAAGAAACCAATAAAGATCTGAATAGTTCGGCCAAGTAAACCACAGAAACATCTATGAGATGAAGATAGATGTGCTTCGCTTTTGTTATCAGTGACGCTATACCAAACTTGAAAAGAGACTTTGTAGACCAAGTCAATCAAATAAATTGGAATATTTCTTCCTCTAGTATTTTAGCTTTGTTTGTTATCTGTTGTAACTATGGGTAGGTTGATAATATAGGTTATGCAAATTGGTATCTTAACTTTAGATTAATAAACGAGTATTTCTCTACCATATACTCTGTTTCCAACATTATATTTGTGGCAATGTCCTTGAACACGGAGACGGTGTAGAGATTGGATTCCAAAGGCTTAGGAAGCACCACAACTGCCTGTAGGGATTCTGGTTTATACTCCTTTATAATACCCATGGAGTCAGATTGGATTTGAATGATGGGACGTTGTAAGGACCTGTGTGTGTTTTTGAAACAAAAATGTAGTTGCTATCTTTAATTAGGGGCATAATTGTTAATCTATATGCTTTTCCGAAAGCATAAAAAATCACCGTGATAATATCAGTACCCAATATATAATTGCCATCTTTAGAAAGTAACATGGAAAGTGGATATAGAATAACAAAGTAAACAACTAACAAACCTCGCGAGAAGATCTAATAATAATGACCATATGTAAGGCACGCGATTTCAAAACAAATCTTACTAAATAATAATAATAATAATAATAATAATAATAATAATAATAATAGCCGTGTATTAACTCTAAGAGTTAGAATCTATTAAATTGTTCTAAATATTAATATATTTAATTATAACAATTAGACGAATATAATGGAAATAATATAATTATAGACACTACAACAATCGGACCCTGTGCAGACGACGATTTTAGACCTTATGGAGACGACAAGTCGTCGGCATAGGGTATGGCGACGACAAGTCGTCGGCACAGGCGTGTCGGCATAGGTCTGTTAGGTCGTCGATATAGAGATCGTCGGTATAGCTAGCTCTATTGCGACGACATGTCGTCGGTACAGATTTTATCAACCACATTTCCGGGGGAAAAAAATAATGTTTTATTAAAATCCTATGGCGACGACTTATCGTCGAGATAGCTATGGCGACGACAAGTCGTCGGGACAAGTTGAGGCTATTACGACGCCTAGTCGTCGCTAACGGGTTTTATCAGTTAACGGTTATGGAACTATAGCG